GGAGTTATGCTGGTGGCTTTTGTCTCTGGTCAGAAGGATGAGGAAGAAGCCAGAAGTTTGCCACCTTTACCATCTTTCAGAGCTCTGTCTAAGCTCCCAGTCCCTCACTTCCTTAAGACTAGAAAACTGTTATTGTTTCTGAACTTTTGTTCTCCTCTGTGCACAGGTGGTGTCTTGTTCTTGGAAATACACAGGAACCTGGAAATACCCAGTTTAGCTATTTTCTTGGTGTGGTAGTTTTACTATCTTCCTTCAAGAGTATGTAACTTTAAAAAATGTATCTTTTTATTTATGGATACATGTGTGAGCCTGCAAGAACATGTGTATTAAGTGTGTGTGGGAGCCCTCAGAGGCCAAAAGAGGTCACTGGTTTCCCTGACATTGCAGTTTCGATCAGTGATCAGTTGCTGATCACCATATGAGTGCCAGAGCTGGACCTGGAGCATCCATTACAACAGCCAGTGCTTTTAACTGCTGAGCTGGCTCTCCAGCCCCACAGGATAGACCCCTTAGACCCATTAAGTGCTGACTTAGGGATGACTTATGGAATTAATTTTTTTTATTTTAAATTTTGGACATTTGTGATAGCTTGTTGAGTTTTACTTGGCTTGTTTACCCAGCAATCTGAGTTTTGGTACCCCAGAAGTCATGTAAATAACAACAGAAGGAAAACTGATTCCACAAAGTTGTTCTGACTTTCACAATCATACAGACACAAACACAACAACAACAAATAATGGTACAAATTCCAGTGGGGGTGACAAGATGGTTTGGTGGACTAAGATTTTTATACCTGGAACCTCGGTAGATGAAGGGTTGGTTTCTGACTCCACTCTCCAGCTGTGGCATTCAAAGGCCCCCACACAATCATAAAAGCAAATAAATATTTTTAAAACAACAACAAAAAAAAAAATCGTTGTTGAACCAGGTGTAATGGTGGCAGAGGCAAAGGCAGGCAGATTCTGTGAGTTCCAGGCCAGCCACGACTACATTTGCCAGCTACAAAAACAATTGCCTGCTGGAGAGATGGCACTTTGTCAGCAAACCAGGACTTATGTGTATCACAATTGTCTGCAAGTTCAGTTCCTGGGGATGGGGTTCTCTTCTGGCCTCCACTGGCACCAAGCAAGCAATTGGTGCACAATCCCACATGAAGGCAAAACACACACATATAAAATAATCAAAAAAAAATATTAAAGCAGAAAGTAACCTTTTGAAAAGTTCATTTTTACTTATTGATTAATAGAGACAGTGTCTTGCTCTGTGTGTGTCCTTGGCTGGCATTGATCTCAAGTTCCGGCCACATCCCTACAGTGAGGTTTACTGGTGGAAGCTACTACCAGTTTAACTTTTATTATTTTATTTTATTTATTTTTGTGATTCTGGAAATTGAACCCAAGACGTTGCAGTTCAGAAAGAGCTCTACCGTTTAGCTCTTCCCCCAGACTTACTTTAGTGTCAGCATGACCTTAGCTCACAGACTCTAACACAAGCATGTTCTGTGAAGAGCTCCCTGCACCTCCAATGTACCCCACACAAACCCTGACATTTCTGCACCTCAGTCCTTTTCACCAGTATCGAGGTATGACTGAGTGTCCCCGCTCCTTTCTGTCCACCTTATTTAAAGGCAGCAGACCTATGCTTCCCTGTGTCCTTTAGTCTTTCCTTTGTAGCCCGCAGCTGTTACAGTTCTGTGCTTGCCCGGCTCTGGTGTCCCAGACTCTCTAGTTTCTTCTCCATTCAGTTTACTTTACGTTCCATTGTTGGTGAATTTTCGTTTTCTCTTTTCCAAAGGGTCTAACGTCATCTCAGCTTCTACCACTTCGAAGAGGGTGAACCAACCATGTTCTAACAGTGTACCTTTAAATATTTGGTTACTCATAATTTTCTTCTGCCAGAAATCGTCTACCCTCACCCCCATTGTGCAAATCTCAGCCTCCTGCTATCTTCAGACTTAGCCCACCCCTTTGAAGGGCCCAAATGGTTTACTTGCAAATTACACTGGTACACTTGCTTTTCATTTTGAGTTCATAAAAACTGAAAAAAATTCCACGTGGTGCATAAATAAGTGTGAGGGAAAAGATAAAATAATTATCAGTGAAGCAAATTAATAATAATAAAATCTGAATCCCTATCTGGTCCCTGACATAGAGCCTAGCACAGAATTGAAATTCGGAGAATTTGGAGCTTCTTGAATAAGGAATGAGTTAAATGGCGAACTGGGGATTGCTTGTTCTGACGCTGAGGAGATCTTTTAAGAGGCCTGTGGCGGAAGTATGTATGGAGTCCAGGAGAAAAACCCAGATGTGGGGGCACCAGTTTCCACCCAGACTTGTGGTCGGCTTATTTCCTTGCGCTGAATTTTTGTTCTGGATTTCACCGTCTGAAGGAAGCAGGAGAGGCTGGCTCAGTTGGTGTTGGTGATAGGAATGAGGGTGGCAGAGTGGGAAGGGGGAAGGGAGTGGTGGTGGTGTCGGGGTGGACTCATTCTTCAAATTTAAGATAGTAGTGATCCCCGTCGCAATCCGCCGCTGTTCTAATCCCCAACAAGCCCAGACTGTAGACTGAATTTCCATACTGTATATGGGAATGGAGTAAACACATGGATATACCGTATTTGGCAACAGACTAAAACACGATCCAGTTTTGCCCTCTTTCGTATAGTTCAGCGGCCAAAGCAAAAGTATGCTTTTCTAAGAAAGACAAAAGAGCACGTTTCGTGTGGCCCTATAGCTCAGGGGTTAGAGCACTGGTCTTGTAAACCAGGGGTCGCGAGTTCAAATCTCGCTGGGGCCTAGGGGATGTATGTTTTTGAGGGGAAAGATGAGTGTGGAGGCTGGCATGGCATCTCAGTCGTTAGCTTTTGATTCTTGCTGCGGCTCTCGAGTGTTGTCCTTCATCCCGGAGTTTTCTGCACACTGGGAGAGTGTGGCCTCCGCCTACACCTTGCTACTAGCGTGTAGCACCGCCCCCCTCCCCGTGGCCTGCGCAGGAGCGCAGCGATGGAGGGAGGGAGGGGTAGGGCTGACCCCGCGGGGAGGACTGCGCGGGGAGCCGAGGCTGCGGGATGACGAGACTTCACCGTCTAGCTCATGAAATACAGTTCCGCAGTTGGGCGTGAGGCCTTGGTCACTACACCACGGCATGAACTCAAAGAGGCTGCGCTTGTGGCGTCCTCTTAAAAGAACGCTTTCTCTCCACGCACAGCCTTTCTTCTTTAGGAGCTGAGGTCGAATTTAGAATCTCACGCTGGGCCACGGCGCCACCAGCAGCCACGCCTCCAGCCCTGAGTTTCCCAGCCTTCGTAGCATCCCACGCCTACCCGCCCGCCCGCCCGCCCGCACAGTGGTCCGGGTGCGCCCGGGGCGCACGCTCTCGGGTCTCCGGATGCGCGTGACCTCGTGCGTGCGTTCGTGCACCGCACCGCACCGCAGGCGGACCCCGCACGGCGCTGGAGCCTCCGGGGCGCCCGGTGAGGGTGAGCAGGCAGAACGCGGACATGGCGGGTGTATGCAGCTTCCTGCACGGCTGCTGGGTGCCTACCTGCAGACTGAACTGCGCTCTCTGCGGATATTACGATGTGCTCCCCTTCGATAGCTCAGCTGGTAGAGCGGAGGACTGTAGTGTCTATGACAGCCATCCTTAGGTCGCTGGTTCGATTCCGGCTCGAAGGAGTAGCCTATGTTTTGGGCTTACCTCTGGCCCTCGTTCGAAGTCCGAATACAGACGGTCCTTCTAACAAATGCACAATCACAAACTTTGTAGTGATGATCGCACCCTTCAAAAAGGGGCAAAACACAACCACTTGCCGTTTGGTTCCCGGCGCTTCTTGTTGTTCACTTTTAGTTTCTAATTGAGCCTATTTTGCTGCCCTGTGTTCAGACACCAAAGACTATAAGGTGCAGACCCTTCGTGGACACGCTTGTGTGCATGTTTGCAGTGCTCTGTCGACCCTCAGGACTCTGATTTGCAGAACAAAACCTCTGACTGGCCCCGCTGGTTGCCCCACGTTAAGCGGCAAAGAGGCGCTTTATTTATTCAGGTATTTGTACAGCGTTTGACGTGAGTTGGAGATGAGGTTGGAGGAGCGTAAAGTGCAGATAGGCAAAACACTTTGAACAAAGGACGGGATTTGGAAACGCAATTCCTGTTCAGGAAAGCTGCGAGGGTCTACAGAAAACCAGCCCGATCCTCCTCCAGCCCAGCCGGTCTCGCTCAGCCGCCTCCCGCCCCCAGGGGTGGCTGCAAGCAGGGGAACGTGTCATGCGTCTGAGCTCCGCTCGGAGCGTGAGCGCCATCCCGCTCGCTTCGGGCTCTTGGAATAAACAGGCCCATTACTTGAAATCTAAAAAGCTGCCTCCTCTGAGCCTATTCCGAGCCTGGAGTTGTCCGGGACGTGGATAGAGAGAAAGTGGGGGTAAACCCAGAATTCGTGGGTGAGAAGTGACAAAGATAGGGTGAAAATTAAATAATCCGAAAGAAAATGTCCTTGTAAGAAAAAGGGAGAAAAAGAAGAAACCGCTCGAGCACCGTGACAGCCGCCAAAATGCCTAGGATAGACAGAGGAACTGTAAACGGCGAGGGTTGTATCGCGGCTCGTTGGTCTAGGGGTATGATTCTCGCTTTGGGTGCGAGAGGTCCCGGGTTCAAATCCCGGACGAGCCCTAGGGTTTTGCACTTCCATTTCTTTAGTAACTGGAAATAATTGACTTCTCTACAAACTTTCTCCCGTTGTAACTCTCCTGCAGAAGATATCACAGGACAAAACTACGTTTCCGGGTTCCTTGAGCTTCCCCCGGGCCACCTTCCAGCATTCCCTCCCCCTCCCCCGCCGTGTCATTGAGCATCTGTGGCCTGTACTCATCGTGGAGGTCCTCCGGACATCTGCCAGTCTGGTCCCTGCGCACAACCCACACTGGGTCTCTCCTTGCAGGCTGGGTTATTTCTTTGGGTTCTGCAAGCGGGCCCAGCGGGGTGGGGCATTCTTGGAGAAATGGGGTGCGGTCCCAGCCACCGAGACTGGAACGCCCACCCTCCATTCCTCTGCACCCGGCCCCAATCTGTTTGCGTGGCCAGGCAACGCCGACCTCACCCATATCCGCGACGAGATTCCTAAGGAAACTGCATTTCTACTATTCGGCATCCCACTAGGAAAAAAGGGTGAGAAACAGAGCCGCCGCCTCCAGTTGCGCGACAGGTGGGTTTCTACTCCTGCCCCTCCATAGTCTGGCCAGGAGCGGTTTGTCTATGTGAGTCCTTTCCAACCAAGGGCGGCTGTGGGGGTCCTGGGAGACCACTTTTCGGGTCTGATTGCAGAGCTGAGGTGTGGCAGGTATCAACTCTTGCCAGAGTTGGCAATACCCTTGCCACAGTTCTCTCTCCTCAGCTTGGCAGAATCCGGCGTGAATGGCCTTTGTCTAGAACCCAGGCTCAGAGGGGACCACAGAATCTGCGAAGGAACCCCGCCCGCATTTGCTCAGATAAGGAAGACCTGAGGGTTCCTGGGTTGGTATCAGATTTGTGGAAAAGGCCTGTCAAGGTCGTGCAGACATGACTTAACATTTGAGGACTGGTGTTTTTCGTTTTCTATTTCCTGTCTCCTGCCCTCAGCTCACCCTTAAGTGTGTTGTGTAACTTTTGGAGACAAGCGTCAACAGCTTCCATGTCTTTTCACTGGGCGGTTGGGATTCTCTTGATCTAAAGTGGCAGCGCAAATAGGAGCCATGCCCTTACCCTGGGACATCTCCAGTGGGCCAGGATCTTCCCTCTGGGACCGCAGCAATCTTCACAGCTCGTTCATACGTGCAATCCCTAGAAACCTCGGTAGTCTTGTCTGGACAGCCCCTGGCCAACTCCCAAAAGACCTGCAGCTATTCAAAGAGCCTTGCACCCCTCAGCATGTGCTGGCTTGCCAGTCACACCGGCTTTTATTCAAAACTCTTCGCTAATAAAAGCGGAAGTCGAATGTTAGGGAGATGTATGGAAATAATCACTGTTGGTTTTCTTTAAATAATTTTTAAGTGTTACTTTAAAAATTAGTTTGATTTTTCTAGAAATCATTGCAGTAGGATATAAAAGTTGTATTGAGCATTAGAAAGCGTCTAATCACAGGAATGTCAAATCTTGGTCAGTTAATGTCCTTTTCTTTGTTTTTCAATTTCCTTCCTCACCTGTAAAGTGAAGATTGGAGAGAACATCATAGGCCTCCCTCTCTCCTTCCCTCCTCCCGTTCTCATCTTTAACAGGATTTGGATACTATGGGGTTGAACTGTAGTTTAACTGGAGCTGTTTAGAAAAAGCTATGGCCAGGGTCAGAAACAGGCCTGAAAGGGTCATGAGTTAGTGTCATCAGTGTCTCAGTTTTGTGGGATGCAGAGCTCCCATGAGCTTCTGTTTCAGCCTTGTTCTTTCTGCATCCCATGGACCATTTGTGGAGCTGTTCGCTGGAGGCATTATTGGTGTGCCTCCAATCATGGATTAGAAAGTGTACTGGGGAAACATCTCTTGAGATTTTCCCTTGTATCTATATTTGAGCAGAGAGAAATCTCCGTAAACAGGTATTCTGAGAATAATTGGAAGCCAGGAACAGGCCAAAGCCTGGTGTGCTGGGAAGTGAATGTTTAATTTGTATCTTGTTTGGAGATTCAAGGAAGTCATCAGGAATTTGTTCCTCAACCACAGATGTCCCCACTTCCTCAAACCATAGTCCAGTGAGCCCTTCTCTTTTAGTTGTTGCTTCTGTTACTGATTAAGTGTTATGTAAACACTATAAAGGAATTTACACAGTTCACTCATACCTTCCGTACTTGATTCTCCAATGAGTCCTAAGGACAGAATCAAATGTACACTCCATATAAAGGGGGGAAATGTCCCAACACTAGAATTCTTGAAGGAGAATGTCATGCCTCATGTGCCCATGCATACTACTGACTTGGAGAAGAGACAGACAAAAATTCCAAAAAAGGGGAATAGCTTTCAAAAACTTTGGCGCCTGTCCTGGAACTAGCTCTATAGAAAAAATCTGGCCTCGAACTCACAGAGATCCATCTGCCTCTGCCTCCTGAGTGCTGGGATTAAAGGCATTCACCACCACTGCCCAGCTGATTAAACTTTTTTAATGAATATTTTTTTAAAATTTTCATATGAGTTAAAATTACTGACAAAAATATAATATTCAGGCTCAGGGGTGTGGCTCAGTGGTAGTCTAAGTAGCATGTTTGAGACCCTGGGACTGAGCCTTAGCAACACACACACACACACACACACACACACACACACACAGAGAGAGAGTTCATCATTCATAGACTATGATTGCTTGCATCTTAATAAAATACAAAACTTTAAAATAATACCCATTTCTGTTTCAATATGTACCAAGTTGGAAAAATAAATAAGTCCTGACCTTTTGTCAGGGAAGTGAACAGGTTCTAAATCCCCTGAGCTGGCAGTGGAAAGGGATCTGACTGCTGCCACTCTTTGGCTGCTCCGTGGCATTCTTACTCGGTTCTAAAGAAAAGAGGCTGCTCTGTTTGGATAAGGTAGCATGAGTGCTGTGGGTTAGGGTGAAGTGTATGCTTTGCAGCTGTTTACCAGAAAAGGGTCATCTCTGGCTAGGGGAGCTGGCTGATGTGTACCCTGGGGCCTGATGAGGCCATTGGGGTGTCGCAATACACTTGGCTGCTCTATTCTAACAAATGAGAGGTTGATGACTCTAGAACTCAGTTCTTCCACATCTGTTTAAAAAGTGATGTGTGATTAATTTAAAGTAGGTATGTTTGCACACTGAGCATTTCAGTGCCCAGTTGGATACCAGTAGAGCTCTCACCCAGAAGATCCCCTGTGCTACTACCTCTTTGTCCTTCTGAAACACTTTATATTTTGGCATTTGGCACTTGTCACATGGAAATGCTGGTCAGAAGTGTGCTTGCCTTCCTTCCAGAGACTCTAGTCCCTCAAGTCACCAATGCAAAGAGAAGCCAGGCTACAACAGCTTGCTGAGTTATCTAATCACAACCCCAGCCTCATTTCCTTTCAGTCACAGCTGGGTTAGAAGGAAAAGGAACAAGGACAAAGGGGAACTTCAAGCAGGGCTGTGCCTCAACAAAGCTGAAAGTGTGGAGGTTGTCCTTTCCAGGTCCCCATGCCACTCATCCTCCTCAAGCTGTCAGGCCCTGTTCGTAGGATGTGTGTCCCTCAGGGTGTGCACATTTTGGGCAGCTTCTTTTTGTTTGTTTGTTTGAGACAGGGTTTCTCTGTGTAACCCTGGCTGTCCTAGAACTTGATCTGTAGACCATGCTGGCCTCAAACTCTACGAGATCTTCCTGCCTCTGCCTCCCCTGGGATTAAAGGCGTGCACTTTTTTTTTTTTTTTTTTTAAAGAGGTTATACGCCTAGAGATTTTACACTGGTTAGGAACAACACCTGATTGGCAAAGGCAAATTAGCCACTTTCAGCAACTTTTTGCAGGCAAGAGCAGAGTACGCCCCAAAATATTGCAACACCCAGATGGCCTCATCAGTTCCCAGGATAAGTATCAGCCAGCTCCCCTAGCTCAGATTGCTCTACTTGCAATCAAGTTTTATTTAGTAACTGCTACCAAATCTCACATCTCTGAACCTTTAAAGAGAAGCCCAGAGAGTATGTATAGTTATAGGCTCTAGGTCAGCTGATAGGGACTTAGGTGTCAGTCACTAAGAATGCAGAAATGAGTAAGCAAATATTCTTCTCTAGAAAGGTTCCACCTAATGGAGAGACAACAAGATTAACTAACTCTCAAAGGAAAGTTGATAGCCTCTTTCCTTAGTTACATCAACCTGAAGTGAAGCCAGATCCATCCCATCCATTCTGTGGGAACTATAGATGAGCGCAGTCTTCCCAGTGTTCCCAAGTCCAGGTGTGAGTGCACCTGAGTCAGCGCCCTGAGGCTGCCTGATTGCATCTTTCCTGCCTGGGCTTCCAGAAGAAGTTCTGTTCCTGTGAGGGAGTCTGAAGATGCAGGAGTCTTCCTCCTGCTAGAGCAAGTTAGTCATCTGATGCTCCTCCTTCCTCCTGGCACAAATCTTGTTCTTGTGCCCAGACTCAAAACACCCCAGACAGGGTTCTCATTTGGAGAAAGGTGCATCCTCCCTGCCTCCACCTCTCCTCCCTCATTGTCAGCCTATAGTGTGTGTGTGTTTTCTACTTTTGTTTTTTAGAAATTAGTACAGCTTAAATTATACGCAAATATATACACAGAATGATGGTGCAAAATCCAGAAATTGATAAAGAGCTAAACTATTTCAATCTTGCCCTATGTAGACAATAAATGTATAACAATTCTTTGTTGTTGTTGTTGTTGTTGTTGTTGTTGTTGTGAGAGGATTTGAGACAGGGTTTCTCTGTAGCTTTGAAGCATGTCCTAGAACTCCCTCTGTAGACCAGACTGGAACTCACAGAGATCCGCCTGCATTTGCCTCCCACGCACTGGGACTAAAGGTGTGTGCCACCACCACCAAGCTCTTTAATTTTTATATTTATCTGTTTTCTGTATGTGGGTATTTTGTCTGCATGTATGTCTGTGTACCAGGCACATGCAATGCTTGGGGAGGCCAGGAGATGTCATTATAGATGGTTGTGAGCTGCCATGTAGGGGCCAAGAACTGAGCCTGGGTCCTCTGAAGAGCTGCCTGTGTCCATAACACCTGAGCCATCTGTCCAGCCCCGAAGATGAATATGTAACAATTCTAGTGAACCTCTTTACTACCTCCCTGTGTGCTTTCTGGGTGTTAGAAGTCTGACCTCACGGTTTATCTACTGTTTAGTCTTGGTGTTCTCTCATAAGCAGAACACAATACCTTCTTTACATAGTTTCGGTGATGGTTAGATGTAGGCAATTGGTTTCGCAATTGCACTTTAAAGACCAGAAGGGTGGTAGTCAGGTTCTGTTTCCTGTGGATGGGTGAAGGGAAGACAAGCCCAGGAAATACTGTGAAGGTATTTCTGAACCTTGAAGAGGTGAGAGCACAGCTTGCTGCTTTACTCCTTCCTCTAGACTTCTTCCAAAGTGGTTCTTGGAGCTGAGCTTAAGATCAGAGATAATATGTGTTTGCATCTAACCCATGGCATATGAAGAGTGAAACCTCAGTCCTGCTGTGAGCCAGGGGAAGGGCCATGCACACAGGGTAAGAGGTGGCTTTGGAACAAAAGGCCTGAGCAAACATCTGGTCTCTGAGCAAACTTCTGGTCTACCAGGTAGTTAATATATGACCCAGGCATGTCCAGGGAAAAGGTGAGTGACTCCTTGTTTGTCCACTATTAGTGTCCTTGATTTACATGTCTCTGCCAAAATAGAGGTCCTTGGATATGCTCTCTCCACCCCCTCACATGAGCAGTCTACATAACCAGACTGAGAGGAGCCACTAGCTTCATTCACACTGCTGGACTGGGTCTCTAGAAGCAAGCAGCAGGACTCATCTCCAGTTGGAGGAGAGGTGGTCAACTTTTGTAAGTTTCTTCCTCCTGGATTCTCTACTGCTCTATGTCTTTTTCTCTGTACTCCTTTTAGCCATTCATCTATTTTAATGAAACCAATTATCTCTTCTTTGGACTCTGGACCCAAGCTCATACATTAAAAAGAAAATGAGTCGAAGCCTAAATTTCAAATGAGAGCAGGTTTCTCTTGGGATAGTTTGTATCTGGATGAAGATAAATTAGTGGAACTGAGAACAAGGAGATGGAGGTATAGGAGGGATTTCTCCATTGTGATAGTCTCCCAAAGGCTTGGGAAACTATTTTCTGAAGGGCATCTGAATTGTCATGTTCCATGATAAACATGTGACTGGGCAGGAAGAAAAAGAAAAACCCCAAACCAGGAAGTATGCTTTCAGCGCTGTTCTCTACACATTTCTCTCCTTTAAAAACGTACATGCTCTTTAAGAACAAAATGGAATGTGTCCACCATCAAAGGATGGTGGGTTGGGGGAAGAAAGGAGGGACGGTTTGAAGGAAGACTAGGCACCTGACAGGCTTTCCTCTGGAAGTGTTGCTGGCGATACACAAATGAGTGAGGGCATGGCTGTGAAAGGGTTCTCAGCACATTGTCAACCCTGCTACCTCTCTTGGGCTCAAAGCACTGCCAGTGGAGTGGGAAGAAAACGCCAGTTCTTGTGAGAACTAGTCTACAGGAGAGTTGGAACACATTCTTCTGACAGAAATCCAAATGACAGTCATGTGTCGTGTAAGTGAGGAACGTTCCCTAAGCACCTTTGGCCTTGGTGGATTTACATCTGCACCCAGAATAATCCAGCTGTCACTTGTAGTCTCACAATTATACTTCACCTGGTGTTGGGGGAAATTTAGAGTTAAATATGCGATTGAGACAGTTGCCAGGGTAGACGTTGTTGGCCATGGTGTGCTGCTGGGGTTCGGTTTTCTGGGTGTTTTAGAGAAATGAAGTTATAATAAGCCTGAGAGCTGCATTAGGTGAGTTGGTAAAAATTAATGTGCAGCTTCTGCAAGTTAGAAACAAGTTCGCCCTTTACCTGGCCACAGAGACCTGAGTTCTTTCAAAGTCTGAAAAGCAAATGTCTTTTAGGAGGCAAATCCCGTGTAGTGTTGGTCTATTGATGACACATGGCCTTGGCTTACACAGGCAACCGTCATGGAAGATGTGTTTCAGCGAGATTGGACCAAGGTTGTCCCATCCCCTTTCTTCCAGGTGGTACCTTGTACCATCAACAACTTTATATAAATCTGTCATGTGATTCCTATGTTGTGGAATCTTGCTAATGAAACTGATGTTAGCTTAGTGAGAACCATAGACTCTCAGACTTTCAAAGCTAGAACCTCTCTCATTTATGGACAGAAAAGCATAGGCCTAGAGGAGAAATAGAAGTTAATCACCAAGGGGATTTTGAGAGTCTGCTGTGAAGCAAGCACTATGGTTCAAGGTAAAAAATGCGGATCCCACTCAGTTGTAGATTATACAGCATGAGGAAATATGGTAAGTGTGTGCTTGGAAATGGCAGCCATGAAACCTGAGAGCTGGCAAATATCTGCTTTGTGATACCCTTAGCATTTGGATCCTCCACATTAATGGCGTTTGCTGTGATGACCTGTAACACCTAAAGACTACCAAGGTTGCTTGCCAGTTCACATTCCCCACAACCTGCACTCCTACAGGGTCTTAAGCACAGGTTGGCCCCTTCACAAGAGCCAAGTGTCGCTACCAAACGGCAGCATTACTATCCACTACTGCCATCTGTTGATTCTTTCAAGTATTACCAGCTCTTGTGTGTGTTTAGGTTGGCATGGATCTCTCACTAGGCAACCGGGCTAACCCCAAACATGCAGCGGTCCGGCTTGTCTGTTCTATGATTGCAGGCATGCATGCCGCATCACACACCGCTCTATCTAATTTCCGAAGAGAAATCACATCCAGGAAAGATGACCCCAAGGCAAACGCGAAGAGCTCAGCAAGTGGGTGTCATGCAGTCTGGCAGCTCTGCTGGAGCAGCCGCAGCGTGTGAAGGCTGGTTGTTCTCAGGGTTAGGTGTCCTTTTCTCAATAAAAACCAAACAAACTCGAGTTTGATTCTGTTACAAATTATAATCTGCATACTTAATGGAAGTTTGTTATTTCAGGACTGTGAAATGACAAGGATTTGGTGTTCTTTAGCCATATACCGAATTTGTCTATGGTTATCATGAAACAGAGCGAGTGGGTTAGCTTCAGGTGCTAATTAGAAAGACAGTTCATTCCCCTGCCCATCACCTGTCTCCCACAGGCTCAGTAAGGCCTCAAACCCCTTACCTCCTGGGCTCCTGCTATTCTCCCTGGCTTTCTGCATTGGGGAACAAACTACATACAGATTGAGTACACACACACACACACACACACACACACACACAGTAAAAGTAAAAGCATTCAGACTTACACATGAGAGAAACACAAAATAAAATTAATGATTAACTTAATGCAGCTGAAAATGTACCGAACTTTAGGGAAAAGAAAAAGCCTTTCACCTGGGGCTGATCTTCTTTCAATAACACTTTTCTTGGGGCTTAAAGATACTACATTCTTTGTATTTATTTATTTACAGACAAGGTCTCCTGTATTCCAGGCAGTCCTTGAACTGGCTATAAAGCCAAAGATGACCTTGAACTTCCAATGCTCCTACCTCCATCTCCCCAGAACTGAGCATAGTAGTTTTGTTTGTTTGTTTGTTTTTGTTTTTGCTTTTTTTAGCATTGTGTCTTTTATTATAAATGTCTATGGTTTAGTAACATACATAATTTTTACTTGCTGGATGATAATTTTCAAGCAGGAGTATATTTGTTTCTACAAAAACGTTTCAGAAAATCCCTTCTTGGTTACACACTTGTAAGCATTGCTAGGGGAAAACTGATGCTAAATAATATTTGCATAATTGAGCCCTGCTACTGCCTTCACTCACTTCTCCACACCACACAGTTCCAACACGTTTATTACATTTCAGAGAAGAGTGTTTGACCGTCATGGTGGGATATCTTGTCCCAGCACTACCTTCACAGACAAGAGGCTCTCGCTCCATGAAGTGGAGAAATGACATTTGTAGAATGCATGAGTAGACTTCTGCAGACCCAGTAGTGCATATTATGACAGACCAAACTTGAATGAGAAGACCATGTGTCAGCTCCATGTTTTGTCTGATGATCTGCTTGTCCCGGGTTTTATTTTTTTATGAAGTAATATATTACTACTAATAATTTTTATGAAGTAATATATTACTAATAATTACCAGAAGTATATTCTTCTTGTAATTTCAGCTTCTTCCTGGTATTCTGTAGATATTTGGGCAATGATAGGAATCATCACTAATACATATTACAGTAGAGTCTGAAAGATAAGCATCAATGAGCTGGTCCGTTTTGGCTATAAATTATCTCACTCCATCACTGGAGGGCATCTTGGAACATCCTAGTTAATAAAAAAAGGATGGGAAATGGATACAGCTTATTATGAATGGAAGTCTCTTATTATTAAGCCATGGACCAGTTAAGCTATGATCCATGCACATGGTAGTTCTTAATCAAGAGTTTCAGGTTAGCCTGGGCTACATAGCAAGACCCTGGATCAAAAAAAAATTTTTTGTTGTTGGTTAATGTGGGGGCATTCGTAGCTCTCTAATATATTTGGTGTAGACATATATATATATATATATATATATATATATATATATATATAGTGGGTTTTGTGGGGAAGTGAACATTAGTGTATATATTCCTCAGAAGCCATGTACCATGTTTTCTGGGACCTGAAACTCACCAGTTACTGGGCTGGATAGTAGAGGATCCTTATGTTTCCCCCTTGACAGCATGTCCTTAAGCCCAGCTTTTTACTTACTGAACTACGTTCTCCTTATAGTGCTTTTATAAAAAAGATTAACTTATATTATTTTAAGTGTATACATGCATGTCTGTGGGAAGGTATGTGTAAGAGAGTGTATGTACCCCCCAAAGGCCAGGAACATTAGACCTCCTAGAGCTGGAGTTGCATGTGAGCTGATGTTCAGTTTGAGATTTGGATCCGAACTCAGGTCACCTGCAAGAGCAGTATGCCTTTTAAGTGCCGAACCATCCCTGCAGCCCCCTATGAGGAGGGTTGTTAGGTTTCGGAATGGTCTTTACATTTTTCTCCAAAGACTGAAGGACAGTATCAGAAACTGCTTGCTACAAACACCTAGTGCCTCTTGATTCTCAGAATTCCAAATTTTGTAACATCTTTCAAAAGTCCGGAAGAGGGTCAAGCTCCAGCAGGAGGGCCCCTTTGGTCCTAAGATGTGCGGTTTGTGATGGATGCCTGTGGTTCAGGGTGAGCTAAGAGCTCTTGAGAGATGATGGCAGAGCTCATCTCTCTGTCCTTTTGGGTGAAAACTTACCACATGTCTTGAGTCCTTTGGCTTCATGAAGAGATCTCAGTTTTGTTTTATCATACTGTAAGATCATGTGCCTGTGTTAACCATATTACAAACACAGAGGAGACTAGAAACTATTCTCTCAAATCATCCAAAGGGTTTCTGAAGGGCAAGCTTGCATTCCCCTTTTCGCTCTGTAAGCATAGCTTCCAAGCCCACTTCAAGTACTACACATTTGTTCCATTCCTCCTGTGTGCTGACTAGTACTCTGACCCCTGGGAGGCACACCCCGCCCCACCTCACACCAAGGTGATTTGCTCTCAACAGTTTTCCTCACTGGTGTGGAACTGAGTTATCTGAGTTCTTGGAATCCCATCTCAGTAACCTTGGGAGATTGGCTGACCCAGAGGTCATCCTTCATGGCTCTCAGCTCCTGTGTTACCATTTCTCTCACCTCAGGAGGCCCCGTTGCTTCCCCTGGATGCCACATTTCTATTCCTCTCTTTCCCTCTACCCTCCAAACAGAGTCTTCTGTGTTGCCCAAGCTAGTGTGGAACTCCAGAGCTTGAGAATCCTCCTGCCTCAGGTTCCCAGGTAGCTGGAACTTACAGACATACCACTAAGGACATACCTGTCCTTAGTCTATCTTAAAGACCTTTGTGGCCCAGGATCTAGCACAGTTCCTGGGCCCAATAGGGAGTTGAGTAATGTTTGTTATCAAGTTAAGTGATGCATGACTAAGAATATAAATAGTTTGTAATTATGCTATGACTGATGGGACCCTAAAAGATAGAGAAAGACGGCTGGGTCATGGAGTCAATTAGGGAGGCCAAAGCAAAGATGGAATTAGATGACTGAGGACAAAGTAATTTGTTTTGTTCTATCACAGAGAAAAGTCCCCTCCCTTTTAGCCTAAGTGAGAGTGTGCTTCCATGGCCCTACTATTCCTACTTTTTTGTTTTTGGCAGGAATCTCTGTTGGAAGAGATGACAATGAGTCTGGGCCCCTTGTTGTTGGTCTTCATGCTGGGTCTGGTTTTGATCCCACCAACTCTGGCACAGAATGACCCCAGGTATATCAAATTCCTGAACCAGCACTATGATGCCAATCCAAAGGGCCGGGACGACAGATACTGTAACAGCATAATGAGTAACCGAAAACTGACCTCTCCCTGCAAAGAACTCAACACATTTGTTCATGGTACCAAGGACAACATCAAGGCCATCTGTGGAGCAAAAGGAAACCCTTACAGAGATAACTTAAGAATAAGCACCTCTCAATTCCAGATCACCATTTGCAAGCATAGAGGAGGGTCTCCCCGTCCTCCATGCCGATACCGAGCGTCCAAAGGGTTCAGACACATTGTTATTGCCTGTCAAAATGGCTTGCCTGTCCACTTAGATGAATCTTTTTTCAGTTCATAGCAAGCAGGCCCCTGGCACAGAGTTGGCTTTTTATCCCTCTTACCCCAGAACACTGATGGCAACATTCACTGGCAGTGGCCAGAAAATAAACTATCTGAAACTTATGTCTCCTGATTTACAATGCACATAAATAAAGGTGTCTCTAATGCCCTTAAGAATCCATCTGGAAGAGTCACTAGTTCCTAGTAAATTTCGCTTTTCCTGTTTTTTTCTCCTCAGCTGCTTCCTGGGGGAAGGGACAGGAACAGAGGTGTTTTTCCTTATCTGCCAATCAATGGGAGGGTGGACTTCATCTTTCTGTGGTGGTGAGGATGATAGATTTACAGACAGGCTGGACAGGGATTTTCAAAAGAGTCAAGTTGTCTGTTAAGTAATAGATCACTAAAGGAGCCCTTAGGGAAAGCGCATTAGGACTGAGAGCCAACACACCATAGACATCCTCCCCACCCACTCCTCCCTTCTCTTACATACCCCCCCCCCACAAACCAGCATGGGACTGTCAGCACTGAGTGGGGAGGCACACTTCATGCTGTCATCCTCAGAAACGTAATGAGTTCCCTTAATTTTTTTAGGGACCTCAACTCTAACCAAACCAGATTCACGGTTTCACACAGACAACCATTTCAAGTTTAGCCTATATGAAGCAGAGTTGAGATTTTTATCAATGATCATTTTTTAAAAGATTTATTTATTTATTTATGCATGGCTACAGGCCAGAAGAGGGCACCAGATCTCATTGTAGATGGTTGTGAGGCAACTTGTTGAGAATTGAACTCAGGACCTCTGGAAGAGCATTCAGTGCTCCCAACCTCCGAGCCCCTATAAGTGATAATTTTAACATATGCTGTCAACATAAAGGTGGCGAGAGAGGGACTGAGAAAGGGACATACCCAAATGTGGGTATGGGCTTCCCAACAGACGGTCATGTATTAGACATATGTATAATTTGGGTACCTCTCAAGTCATGTCTTAAAAGGCTGCTAGAACATCCCTCCTTCTCCCTCTCTTTAAAAAATCACTTATTTTATTTGCTGTATATTTTATTATATGTGTTTTGCCTAAATGTGTGTATAGGAATCACATGTGTGCCTGGTGCCCATGGAGGTCAGAAGGGTTGCTGGGCCCCCTGGAGCTGGAGTTATAGATGGTTATGGCAAATGCTGGAATCCAAACTCAGGTCCTCTATGAAAACAGCAAGTTCTTAACCACTGAGCCTCCTCAAGCCCTCTTTTCTCTTTGTTTTGATGAGTGGGAGCATAGGGTTGCTCAGGAGATGCCTTGGATGGAATTGCAGTCTGCAAATGTAGAATCAGGAGCCAACAGGGTCGAACAAGGGGTTTAGTACACATCTTCTCCTTGGAAATAAGGTTTCTTCTTGGGTTCTTAGAAAGGGCAGGTTTACAGCTGGCAAGGGAGGAAGGTCTTCTCTGCAGTTGTTAGTTGTGATGAAATACTTGCCTCCCACACTGCCAAGCAGGGGCTTCCTACCCTTCTCACAGCCCTGCCAGTTCTTTTTATCTATTCAGTGTCTCACTATCTATTCAGTGTCTTTGAGGAATTGTTTCATTGTTGATTTTAAGGGAATACCCCCAAGACATTTATTTGTCATAGCTAATTTATTTAAACTTTAAAAACTTGGCTACTTTTTATCATTAGTCTTTTACTTTATTGAGTGATGCTTGACAACTGTGGGGTTTTAAGGAAGTCATAGAAAGATGTCCAGCTTATTTTAACTCTTCAGCCAGATTTGTTTTCAAGTTTAACACATAGCTTGTTGACACTGTCTGATGCACTGACAAGCCTACAGGCTCTGTAGGTGGTGTCCTGCTAGGCAAGACTCATGAGCACATGCCAAGATGCTTTATTTAGAAAACAGTTGCTAATAAATGAAAACCACCAGCTGTGCTGTCTTGTGACTATCTGAAATCAGGGTTAGTTTTATCTATTGCTCTGATTGCTCTAAATTGGGCCCATAGCCCTATTTTCCCAGTCCTCAAGCTGTGGGCCAGTACTTGGGTGAGCCCAGCCTTCCTGACAGTGTTCAAGTTTGGGAAGGGTTTGGGAAGTCAGCTGCTGATTCTTGGCACAGGAATCACCACTATCTCTTCAGAAAACAGGAAGAAGTTCAAATGTCTCTCATTAGACAAGTTGTCTTAAAAAATATAAAAAGGCCAATGAGATCATTCAGTGAGTGAAGATGCTAGCCACCAAGACTGATGACCCAAGTTTGATTTGGGGACTCACGTGATAGAAAGAGATAATCTATTCCTGCAAACAAACAACAACAACAAAAATCACATGACCGGATGGATGGGTGCTTTCTCACCCATTGATGGAGAAGCAGTTAACAGTCCTGATAATTTTGTACCGAGTCTCCTGCTCTATCATAATACAAAGCTATAGGTAATACAAATTATAGGTAAGGCATTGTGTTTCAATAAACCATTTGAGAAAGAGAAGACAAAATCATAGGTGATTGCAGGCTGTTCAAGGAAAATACAAGAAACACTCCCAAATTTCACAGAATGGTGACCATGTGAGGAAGAAAATTCCATGCATTTGGAAAGGAAACTCTCACCAAGGACACAGCACCAACAAATAGACCTCCAGTTTGTTGTTGTTGCTTTTCCAGACAGGGTTTCTGTGTGTGGCTTTGGAGCCTGTCCTGGAACTAGCTCTTGCAGACCAGGCTGGCCTCGAACTCACAGAGATCCTCCTGCCCCTGCCTCCCAAGTGCTGGATTAAAGGATTAAAGGCGTGCACCACCACCACCCAGTGTAGACCTCCAATTTTTTGAGAGTGTGATTACCTCTTTAAAAATAAAGGGAGTCAATAATACTGAGTGTAGCACATTGTAGTAATTCGTTATTTTCTCCTAACTGAAGAAAGCAGATGAAAACAAGAAAACCGGAAGTGAAGGCACTTGGCTCTGAAGACCAAGCTGGAATTCCCTTTTCTGCTCTGTAAGAGCTGATCCCTGGCCCGCTTCAAGCACAGCCTTCTTCTTCCCCCTTTTTCCTATGCACTGTGCAGTAATTCTGCCTTCTGAAAGAAGTAGGCCTGCTCCCCTTCACCCCAAGGTGACCCTGCTTTCAACTCCTTGCATGCTCAAGGATAAAGCTAGACACATGGGAAAGAATTGCCAGCTTTTAACGACCACTTATTGTGTGCTAGGCATTAAACTGTTGAAAATTTATTTCTCACAATGTTGCAACAGAAAGGTGCTAGTATGGCTCTGGAACTTGTAAGGCAATATGCTGAGAGATTGAGAGACCTGCCAAAGCCATGCACTGTGTTACTCTTCTTCCTATTGCTATGACAACATATTCCAGCCAATCAACTACAAAAGAGGAAAGATTCTTTTGGCCCATTCCCTTCATACCTGTGGAGAGGCAGTGAATTATATAGCAACAGCACAACTTCTCACCTCACCGCATCAGGAAAGCAAGCAGGAAGAAGCTGAGGTTGTTTTAAGGTCTCTTCAAGGCATGCCCTCAGTGACCTAACTTCTTCATAATAGCACCACCTTGGGGACCAAGCCTTCAACTTATGTGGAGGAACTTTGAAAGTCTGAACTATAGCAGCTAGCCCAGGGGGATCATGGTGTCAAAACAGTTTCTGACTGAGAATCCGTGGAGAGCCGTGGGGAGATTGCTGGTTAAAAGTGTACTGAATTGGAAAGCCCCTCTCTTGAAGTCAGAGGTTGCCCTGTTTCTGTTATTCCTACCTCTGCCTCCTATGTGTTGGGATTTCTGGTGTGCCCCACTGTGCCTGGTTTCCAGAGATGCTGGGAATAGAACTCAGGGCTTCATGCATGCTAGGCAAGCATCACTCTACCAACCATCACAGCTTTATCTGTGGCTGCCTCATTTCTCTTGTGGTGAGAGCCTTGGGATCCACCTATGCATGTCTACTTTGGATTGCTTCCCTAGGCTGTTTGTTGCTATGTCTTACTTATTTGTTTAGTTAGTGTATCTGAAGTGTGTGTTTGTTGTTACACAAATACTTTGGGTTTTCTATGTAGGCCAATTTTCTTGCTAATCCATATTTTAGATTAAAAAAAAAAAAAAACCCATGATTAGAGAAAGTAAATAAGAGCCATGTAAAATGAGAGGTGGTGGCAAATAAAGGCCCGTTCTGCTGAAGCTAAAACGTAAGTATTATGTGTCCCTGCAGAATCTGTGTCTGAGGTCTTGGACAGAGAGAGTGTTGTTTTGACTCCTGAATACTTGGCAGTCATAACGCAATGGGGGAGGAGGGTCTACCTGGCTTATGTCTCTAGGTCATGCTCCGTCACTGAAGGAGTAAGAGCAGGGACTTAGGCAGGCGGAAGCAGAAACCAAGGCAGACAGAATGCTGCTTGCTGGCTGGCCTGTGGACTCATGTCTAGCAGTTTTTCTCCTACAGTCCAGGGAACAGAGATGCTCACAGTGGGTGGGCTCCTCTACAGTAATTAACAGTCAAGAGCCTGACCCCAGACATACCCTCAGGCCAGTCTGATCTGGGAAATCTCTTAATTGAAACTCCCTTTGCACTTGATTCTAGATCAGTGGTTCTCAACCTTCCTAATGCTGCGGCCCCTTAATACAGTTCCTCCGGTTGTGGTGACCCCCCCACACACACCCCACAACATAATTTCCTAACTGTACTTTTGCTACTGCTATGAATCATAATGTACTTCATAATTGTACTTTTGTTACTGTTATGAATCATAATGTAAATATATAACACATAGGATATCTGATGTGAGACACTCGTAGGGGTCGTGACCCACAAGCTGAGAACCACTGCTCTAGGCTAAGACAAGCTGACAGAACTAACAGGGCCAGAAGTAAATCAAACACCAGCTTTCTGTCTCTATTCCTCTAAAAACTACTTAATTCCCCTCTTCTTGACATGGTGTTAGCAGAATGCTCGGTTTCTTCTTTTGGGTCTCCTTGATAAATATAACTTAGACTCAAGGGGAAGCTTGAGAATAATTTTATTGGGGTTTAAAAGAAAAATAATGGAGGGCAAGCTGCAAACCTTGGGAGCTAGCAGGAGGAAAGAGATGAAGAAGAGGAAGAGGAAAAAGCAAGCCTTTTGAGTTCGGGTCTAGGGAAGCAGCCAAGTCCAGCAGTAGAGTCCAGCCAGCAGCATGCGACAGAAGCAGAGGTAGGGGCTTAGGGAAAGTGAGGAAGCCAGAGTTCTAGGAAAGTAGCTCAGCATCTGGAAGAAAGGTGATAGAATGGAGGTAGCCAGAAAGGTTAGCCTTCCCATCTCCCCAGTGTGGTTTCAGGTGAGTCAGCCTTTCTGAAGGGTGGTCTCCTGGCCAGGTGATTGACAAGCCAAGCTAGACTAACCCTTAAGGGAGGAGATAATCGTATGTTATGATAGCACAGTAGAATATCAAGTAACTACCCAGGGGCAGATATTCCATTCTTTTGACTGGGAGGCCCAAGGAGTGCCAAGCTGATGCTCACCTTTCTAGTGTTACCAGGGAAACAGGAAGTAGGGCCCCAAGCCAAACATGAGGGAGGGGGCCACCCTCAGTGACCCCCTGTAGCAATGCTATCTCAAATCTACAGCTGGGGGCAGGGCTGTGAATATGGGGGGAGTGTTAAAGAGTAACACTTGCATTTGGTGCTGGTAATTACCACTTAACAAAGGGTAGGCTATTGTCAATCACCTTACAAGTCAATCTGAAGACTAACCACCAGGTGGCACCATCTGATAGTCATTCCTGCAGAAAAGTACTGTTTATTACCCTGTTTAAATATTTTTATTCTTTGAGAACTTCATACAATGTACTTTATTCATATTCGCCATCCTCTGCCAGCTCTTCTAGATCTGCCCCATCATCCTACCCACCCAACTACATAGGCTCCTTTTTGATTTTTTAAACCCATTGAGTCTAGTTTGATCTGCCCAGGTACTCTTGGGTGTGGGACTATCCTCCGGAACATGGTCAACCTACCAAGAGTCACACAGCCTTAAAGAAAATGTTCTCCTCAGTTAGGCTTCATGCCCCCCTCTCCTGTCTAGGCTGGCTTGAGTCTGCACAGGTCTTGTGTAAACAGCTATGACTTCATATGTGTAAGTTCCCTGTTGTGCCCGGAAACACTGCTTCGCTGTAGTCATACCTGGCCTTCAGTCTTCCCACTCCCTTCTCCAAACGGTCCCTGAGCCTTGGGAGGAAAAGGGAATTTGTTTTTAACAATCACGCAGAGTTCCCCCACCCTTCCCAAATGCATGATTTACTCCCTAGCAAAATAGTCAGAAGAGGGGGAAGGCTAGACTGAAGGTTGTTCTCCTTTATCTCCATCATTTGCTAGATACAGGGCATTTAAATCAATCGGTAAACTTACTTTGACCCAAGTCTATCTGAACCTTTGGGAACTGAAATTTCCAGAATACCAAACACTCCCTAATGATCACACTAGCTAATTCTCTTACAAACCTCACACCCTAACCTTATGCCGATTTACCTGTTCTTATATTACACTCTAGTCACACGGGCCCAGACCACTGCCCACCGGTTCAGTTCTGCCCTGATGTGCTCTGGTGGCTATACCTACCACCGTCATTTAGGAGAGGAAGTCGGTGTTGCCAGACTATTTGCTCTTAGAGAAAAGGGCTGGGAAAGGTGGGAGCAGGAAGAATCGGGTAGATCTTGAGTGGAAGGGAGGGGGAGGGAAGATTCTCCAGAGATTTCACTTTGCTGTTCTTAGTGCCTCTCCAGCGCCCAGTCCTGACCCTCTTTCCTCCTGTTCTTGCTTTCTTCTCAGGCAGTGATGGCTCTGCACAGGACCCAGTGCTTGCTTCTGCTCCTGGTGCTGACCCTGCTGGGGTTAGGTCTTGTGCAGCCCTCCTACGGCCAGAATCAAATGTACCAGCGGTTCCTTCGACAGCATGTTGACCCTCAGGACACAGGTGGCAATGACAACTACTGCAACTTGATGATGCAGAGACGGAAGATGACTTCTCGTCAGTGCAAACACTTCAACACCTTCATCCACGAAGACATCTGGAACATTCGTGGCATCTGCAGTACCACCAATATCCAGTGCAAGAACGGCAGGATGAACTGTCATGAGGGTGTAGTGAAGGTCACAGACTGCAGAGAGACAGGGGGCTCTAGGTTTCCCAACTGTAGATACAGGGCAAGTACCAGCACTAGGAGAGTTGTCATTGCCTGTGAGGGTAACCCAGAGGTCCCTGTGCACTTTGACAGATAGATAACCATCCCACAGCTGCTACAGTAGTGACTGGTGATTGGCCTCAGAGTCAGTGAGAATAGCAGTGATGTATTGGAAAGCCTCAGACTTTGTTTCCATTGCTTATGCCTTACACCCATATATACCCAATATAACCCATTGTGTTAAGTACATCATGACCAGAGAAGGAAACCTCTCCTGGTAGCCTGGCTCTCCCAGATTCTAGCCTCTGAATGTGTGCATTACATGTATTTACACAGTATTTCAACTATTACAAAGTACCTTTTTGTCCAAGGTGTCTCATTCCAATGCCCTAGCTACCCCCTGATACCAATTCTGCTACTTTGTTCGGAAGCCTAGAGTTAAAGGATTTGAAGACCCTGAAAACAGTGGAAGATCTCAGACTAAATCCAACTGAACGGGAACTCACATAGGGCTTTACCTACTCCATTATGTGTGTTTTCTGATATTTCTAAATGTCATCCTTAATGAAACCACTAAGAATTTGGGGGAAAAGAGAATTTGGAAATAACTTGCTGGTAAAGCGAGAACTTTGAGTTACTTGGCATTATTATGGTTTGTTGCTCCCAAGCTTTTTAAAAAGCTATATAAAAAATATATTAGATTACCGAGATTCTTTTACCCCCCCCTTAACTAAAAGATATTCCACATTCTCATTATAATAAAGAGCTGTCTGTTGAACCTACAGTGACATGGATTTGTGTTCCCCTGAGTGTTCCCTGCACATCTGGTCAGAGACAGACACTCATCAGACCCACCACAACACAGAAACTTGGTCTGCTTTATTCCATGGGAAGTGACCCCACACAGACAAGACCTAGAACAAGAAGAGTCTTTGCTAAAAGCTCCATCTCTTCACATGGCGCGTGAGAGTGCTGCAGTATTTGGCTTTTTTGTTTGGTTTGGTTTTTCAAGACAAGATTTCTCTGTGTAGCTCTGGCTGTCCTGGAATTCACTCTGTAGACCAGGCTGGTCTCGAACTTAGAGCTCCACCTGCCTCTGCTTCCCACGTGCTAGGACTAAAGGTGTGTGCCACCACCACCCGGCTTTAAATATGGAGCGCTTCATGAATTTGTGTGCCATCATTGCACAGGGGCCATGCTAATCTTCTCTGTATCATTCCAATTTTTTCTTTCTTCTTTTTCTTTAATGTGGTGCCAGGATTCTAACCTAGAGCCTTGTGTATGATAGACAAACACTGTGCCACTGAGCTACATTCCCACCCCTTCTTGGGCATTATTGATGACTACAGGTGCCCAATGGGTGACTGGAAGGAGGGTAACAAGGTTGAAGTTTCTGGCTATGTGTGGTTTGTCATTCCTGAGTTTTCTGTAGTCAAATGGAATCCAAGGTCAACAGGTCTGATGATGAACAAACAGAGTGTAATGGGCTTTCCTCTTTCGGATCGTGTGTGTGTGTGTGTGTGTGTGTGTGTGTGTGTGTGTGTGTGTGTGTGTGTGTGTGTGTGCAGGTGCTCAGGAAGAGCTCAGAGGACAACTTTGGGAGTTGGTTATCTCTTCACCATGGATTCCATGGAATGAACTCAGGTTGTCAGGCTTTCGGGGCAAGCCTTTCTACCCACTGAGTCATCTCTGAGGTTCAGACAATGTGACTGGTCAACCAGAGAGAATAGCTGGCCAAAACACAGTTGGGCATTCTGGGCAGAAACTGCTTAATAATTCTTGCCTCCATTCCCTATATAATATTAGTGCTTCTTGTTTGCTTGCTTTGTTTTTGTTTTTCGAGACAGGGTTTCTCTGTATTGCTTTGGAGCCTGTCCTGGAACTAGCTCTGTAGACCAGGCTGGCCTCCAACTCACAGACATTTATCCACCTGCCTCTGCCTCTCGAGTGCTGGGATTAAAGGTGAGCGCCACCACCGCCTGGGTTAATATTAGTGCTTTTGCTAGCCCCCCCGCCCCCGAGACAGGTTAAAGATGTCAGGGTCTTTGCCTTACCAGCACACTTACACTGGTTAAAGCTCTTCTATGCATTCCACCATTACCTTTCTGTTTGGTTTGGTGTTTCGGTGGCCAGACCTCATGTATTGGGACCACAAGAGTAAAGCCTTGAGCTTACCACTCCAATAACACATGTTCCTTCCCACTTTGCACATTAATTAAAGATGTTGGCTGGTTACCAAAACAGATAAAGAGGTGTTGGAGAGGTGGGAAAATGGAGGAGTGAAGAGGTTTTCTTATTTTGTTTTGTTTTTGTTTGCTTGCTGGCCTTTGTTTGTTTGTTTGGGTTTGATTTTTTCTTTTTATGTTCTTTTTGGGTGAGCCGCTGGGGTGAGGGGAGGGTATGGGCATGACAGCTCCTACCTATAATCCCAGGTCTCAGAAGGTAAGGCCAGGAAGATTGACGCAAGGCCAGCCTGGGCTACATGAGTGAGTTCCAGGATGGCCTGTGCTATAGCATGAGGTCCTGTCTCAAGAATGATACAAAATATAGTAAGTTTTATTGTCTGGTTTTTTTCCATTTTGAAAATGATTTTATTATTCTGTTCTCATGAGTGTTTTGTCTGCATGTATTTATGTGTATCATGTGTGTACCTAGTGCCCACAGAGGTTAGAAGAGGGTGTTAGTTTTCCTGGGACTAGAATTACAGACAATGGTGCGCCATCATTTGGATGCTAGGAATTGAATCCCATTCCTCTACAACAGTTCTCACCCTGTGGGTCTTTACAGCCTTGGGGGTCGAATGGCTCTTTCACAGGGGTCACTGCAGCCCATCAGAAATCGCAGATATTATATTATGATTCATAACAGTGGCAAAAAATAGTTATGAAGCAGCAGTAAAAATAATTTTATGATGGGGGGGTTACCACAACATGAGTATTAAAGGGCCACAGCATTAAGAAAGTTGAAATTATTGCTCTACAGGATCAACAAGAGCCTTTAACCATTCTGCCATCTCTCCAGCTTTTGCCTGTTGTTTGCCAAACAACAGAGATATACACTTGTGAGGGCCAAATGTAGTCCCAAGTAAATGTGTATTATTGCTGTGGGCATGGCCAAATAAGGACCCTAAGGTCACTTATTTGATGAGCACTGATTGACTAGGTTACAGAAATGCGCGTGATCCTGGTATCGATGACAGGCATCGGTACAGCACTTTACTCTCACACACATTCTGAGAATTCTTAGAGCAGCTTGCTGAAGCTCTGTAATATGTGCTAAGAGAGATGCTTTGAAAGACTATGGCTTGGGTTGGGGAAGTAGGTCTGTAACAGAACATTCTCCCAGTGTGCTGGAGGTCCTAAGTGCAATTCCCAGAACCAAGAGAAAGAATTATTGCCCCCTCCTTCCCTCTCTCCCCCTCCCTCCCTCCTTCCCTCCCTCCCTCCCTTCCTTTTGTCACCTCTCAGCAGGTTCTTCCCTCTTCTCTATATCCATCAAGTCACTACTTGCATTTATGTCTTCAAAAGTTTGTGTAAATTTGTTAGAAAGGGCTCCGGACATCGTGCATATGATTGCCATTTTATTTTTCCTCAGATTTATCTCTAAGTTATCCAAACTCAGGGTGCTCCCAGTTTCTCCCTGAGTATTCTTGCCCTGTCTCTCGGATAGCTAGAGTATAAGAGGGTGTGAAGAATACAGTTCCAGCCAACCCCCCACCCCAGCCTATCAGAGCAGGATTCCCAGTTATTACAGCGATGTTTGACATGAGCTGGCATCTGCAGATAGGCGTTGGTGGATTTTCTTTTTCTTATGACAGAGTTTGGTTTTTGCACAAGCTGGCCTGAAACAACTGGGCCTCCTGCTTCAGCTTCCTACCTGGTAAGGTTACCAACACACACTACCACACCTGGCTTTGGAAATAAGTTCTGAATATAAATAGATGCATGCAGACATTCTCATGCCAAAGCAAACTGGGAAGAAACTCCACCAGGGCATCTGAGCCACCAGCAGCCCTTGCGTCACTGATGAAAGCACACCCCGTTATCTCCACACCACTTATCTACACGTCTCACTTTTGACTATGTTCTCTCACTTCTTGGTGGCATTGCCATAGTTCACATTCTTGCCAAATTCCCTTTAGAATATGGCCTAGCCATTCATGGACTCTCCCCAGAAAGCTTGTTGGGAAACAAGTTTCAGGGCCACATTTCTGGTAGTCTACCCATAGCCCCTCCCTGGGGTCACCTCTATCCAGCCTACGCTTTGAAATTCCTGTGTGCCTGGGCGCCCTTCTTTGATGTTTTCAGACCTTGCTTAAGGCTATTCTCAGGGTGAACCTACATGTTCCACTTGAGAAGATACAGGAACGGGCTCACAAAAAAAGATGTTCTTGTCCCTGCCCTCCAAGCCACCTCCCCCACAAACCTAGAGTGCTATTCTTCCTATTGCCATTCTCTTTTCTTCTGCTGTGTATTGCTTGGGCAGTCCAGAAAAGACAAGACTGCTTGCTCTCCAGATCCCCATATCTCTGTACCCACAACACCCAGCAACCCGGGCACTGACTAGGTGAGTTAATAGGGTTGAAAGGCCAGGAATCATAGGGCAGAGACTGGCTGACATTTTAGGGTTAAGGATGAAAATAAGATCTTAAATTCAGCTCAGCATTGCCCTCATAGCTGTGGCTCCCACCCTACTCCACCCTCATACAATCTACAAAAGTGTTTTTTGTTGGCTCTCAAAGGTCTATCAGGCCCTTATGAGGTCAGGGCTGTGAATAAGATGAAAGGTGCAATAGGCCCGGTAACACTCGTGTAAATGAGGGTGGACTCTCTTTAAGTGTAAGTCTTCCCATACACTGGTCTCTGGCTTCCATCCAGTCACCCCTGCAAAGCTGATTTTAGCATTGGTATTCGGTGAATTGAAACACGATTTCAAAACTTCTGTTCCCTTAGACGTATTCAACAAGTAGCTCTGGCAAATCATAGTGGTTTGGAATGAACACAGGGATATGGTTTCTGAGAAAAGATGTGAGAGTTTAGAAATAAATGGTGTTGCCTTTCCACTAAGTTTTGGGGAAATGCTATAAGGGAGTCAAGATAGGAGACACATCATGGTGCAATCAGCATGACATTCAACCTGGGCTACAACTGCAGGGAACCGAAGCCTTCCTGCTTGGCAAAATCTCCCGAGCAGTTACTCTGTTCCCCTCAATGGGGGAGTCTTTAGATCCTGAAGACAAGACAAGTCTTTTGGACAGATGAGCTGATGAGCCTTGAAGAATTGGCCAGAGCTGGTGAGAGAGCAATGCATCCTTCCATTGCACAGAAGTGAGGGCATGTAAGAGGAACTTGGAGTTTTCAAAATATATTCTGTCTTCTTTTTGCAATTTAATCTTGCTTCATGCAGTCTGCAATATATTTTTTAATTTGCTATTAATCTTACTGTCTAATGAAGGATATCTCTGGGAAATAAAATTATACAGGAATAAGAATTTAAATTATAAGCCATCAGTGGTGGTGCATGCCTTTAATCCCAGCACTTGGGAGGCAGGGGAAGGAGAATCTCTGTGAGTTTGAGGCCAGCCTGGTCTACAGAGCTCCACAGAAAAACCCTGTCTTGAAAAAAAACAAAAAAAGAAAGAAAGAAAAGAAAAGAAAAAAGACATTTAAAGTGCGTAGGGCTCAGCCTACAGATTAGTATGTCAACATGTTCTCCTTTCTTTCCTGTGCCCACTTAGGTGGATGTGGCGGCTCTATGGCGTCCTCTCTAAAGGCCTGGCATCTGCTTGTGTCCCTGCTGTACCTGCAGTGCAGCTTGCTTGCACAGAGTACTTCTAGGCGAGAGTTCATGGAACAACATCACCTGAGTTCACACAAAGAATTCAGTGCATACAGCTGTGATGCCCTCATGACAGACAAAGGTCTGAAACCCAAGATCTCACACTCATTTGTTTATATAGCATGGTACAAAGTTGAGCATATGTGCATCAGTGGCAACTGGAAATATCGATACAAAAATTCGTATGTTTGGGCCCAGACTCCCATTAAAGTGCTCACGTGCCAGTGGGAGAATTTCAAAAGTAAATATGCAGAGAGAAGGAGCTACAACTATGTTCAGTTTCACTGTAACGCAGATGGCTATGTCGACAGCATAGAGGACATGAAGCCTCTGGAGCCCATCTTCGCCTAGAAAGTCTCACTGGCTGGCAAGCTCTGGGAGAACCATTAGTTCTCAAATGTCAGCCTCTGCTTACAATAGCTGCTGCCACTTCACTTTGCAATTACACGTCAGTGTTTCCCAACCATGTTGATTCTCGGCATTATGATGATGTTTATGTTGTTCCCTGCCTAAAATAACACTCCTCCCTGGTCTACCTGCCTTCATTCACATTTTTTATGACTTGGCTCACATACCTTCTGTTGTTGGGGCAAAGTATCTGAGAGAAACCGTTCAGGAGATTTATTGGTCCTAGTCTCTGGGCTTTCAGTCTGCAATCTGCTGGTTCTGTTCTCCTTGGAGGCTGAGAAGTAGAAAGAGAAAGAGGGCGAAGGGAATGGGGACAAGATATGACAATTGTGGCTCCAGTGGCCTACCTCCTCCAACTGGACCCTCAGACCCACTCAGCTATGAACTCATCAATGGATTAATCCACTGCCAAAGTAAGTTACAGCTTTCATGACCCAGTCGTGGAGTAAGCCTTCAACACGGGAGCCTGTGGGAGGTCATTGGACAACCAAACCACACGGCATCTTCTCTTGACTCATCCAGGGTTCTCTCTCTGTCTGTCTCTCTCTCTCTCTCTCTCTCTCTCTCTCTCTCTCTCTCTCTCTCTCTCTCTTCTTTCTTTTTCTGATGTCATCATTTTATGCCTATCCAAACTGAATGACCTTCCTTTCTACAAATAAATTGTTATTCCACTGTGTGTCATACATATACATGTGTTGTGTATTGGTGTGAGCAGTGTAGTTACTTGTTATTTAAAGTATGACTAGATGTGAGTATCTTACACTTTGGCATTTTACGTATGCACCTACATGCATGTGGATATACCTATGTGCTAATAAGGTAAAGACAAGTCTTGACTTGGACAGTGATTGTAGTGTGGTGCAAGACTATCATTTATTACAGAAGTAATATTCTATAATATTCTAGGTATCAACTCCAGAAAATTTGTTATTACCAATTTGGCTGTATGTAGAATATATACTGGGTGCTTTGTATTCTCAAATAGGTCCCAGAGAAAGGAATTCCTTCTCACTGGGTCAGCAGTAAGAGCTGCAGCCTCTGGATCTCACACTACATAACCTTAGTTTTTTTCCTTTGACTTGCAAGACTTAGGTTTGCCATGACTTAGGTTTAGGTTTTTTAGAAGGAAAGAACTTTGGAGAACTTTAAGAGCAGAGAGCTTTTAGAGGAGAGTTGAGAGAGAACTGTTTTGGGAAGCCTCTATAAGATGTATTTATCATGTATACAGTGCTCTGCCTGTGCAGGCCAGAAGAAGGCACCAGATCTCCTTGCAGATGGTTGTAAGCCACCATGTGGTTGGTGGGAATTGAGCCCAGGACCTCTGGAAGAGCAGTCAGTGCTCTTAATCTCTGGGCCATCTCTCCAGCCCCTGGTTTATTTTCTTTTGGCCCTCAGATGAGAACTTTTAGCAAAGCCCCTAATCAGCCTGCTGTAAGCTGCTCTTTGAATGCGACCCCCCCCCCCCGCCACACACACACACACACACACACACACACACAGTAGTGGCATCTTTAGCTCTTCCCAAATGGGATATCAGGGAAGAAAGAAGGAAATAGATAAATAACAAATTGGGTCAAATAATATGGTAGGTCTCTGGTTCATAACGGGTGACCCAAGAAGTTTGTAGGGATTTTGTTTTGTTTTGGGTTTGTTTATTTGTTGTTGGTTTTTTTCCCTTTCTTATCCTTTGGCTTAGGATTTTAATTTTGACTTTGATAAAGCACACATGAAACATGTTCCAATCATTTGTTCTCCCTAGTTGTAGCAGATTTGTAACATAAAACAAACATTAGGGTGCTAGGGAAATGGCTCAGTAGAGAAAGGCACTCGATGCTCTTCCAGAGCACCAAAGCTCAGTTCTCAGCACCCACAAAAGGGGGTTTACAACCATCCATGACTCTAATTCTGGGGCATCTAATACCTTTGGACTCCAAGGGCATATGCACGTGTGTGCAGGTAACACATGCAGACACATACCTACACATAGTCAAAAAATAATAAAAATAAATCTTTAAAAAAAAGACGGATATTAGGTGGAGCCTTGCATGCAATCCATAGACACTGACTGATCAAAAATAATCTTTCGTGGGATGTTGTGCTGGCTAGTTTTATGTTCACTTGACACAAGCTAGAGTTGTCAGAGAAGAGGGAACCTCAAGTGAGAAAAAGCCTACATAAAATCAGGCCACACGCAAGCTTTTAGGTAATTTTCTTAATTAGTGATTGGATTGATGTGGGAGAGCCTAGTGCATTGTGGGTCAGGGCACTCCGGTGCTGATGGTCTTGGGTTCTGTAAGAGAACGAGTTGAGCAAGCCAGTAAGCAGCACCGCCCTTTGACCTCTGCATCAACTCCTGCCTCCAGGTTCCTGCCCCGTTTGAGGACCCGTCCTGATTTCTTTCAATAATGATGAAAAATGATGTGGAAGTATAAGCCAAATAAAGCCTTCCCTCCCCAAGTTGCTTTTGGACGCGGTGCTTCAACACAGCCATAGTAACCCTGACTAGGACAGAAGTCAACGTGGTTTAGCAGCGGATGTGGGGGTTTGGATGACCATGTCCCCACACGATCATGTATTTGAACATTTAGTCCCCAGTTGGTGGTACTACTTGGGGAGGCTGTGGAACCTTTAGACTGTGGAGCTTTGTAGGAGGAAGCACACAATTGGAGCAGTCTTCTGGAGCTTATAACCTCATCCAAATTCTAGCTCGATCTCTCTGCTTTCCCAATGTGGTTGAAGTTGTGGTCTCTCAGCTTCCTGTTCCAGCTACCTGCAGCCACGCTTCTCCACTTTTATGGGCTCTCTCTCTAGAATCACAGCCATAATAAACTCCTTCCTCTTTAAATTGCTTCTGACATGGTCTTTTATTGCAGCCACAGAAGAGTAACTAATCCAACAGGGAAGGGGTAGTGCCCACAGGCCTAGTGACCTGACTGGGCCCTGGAAACTGCCCCAAAGGTGGGAGGAGAGAAGTGACGACACAAAAATCGTCCTCTGGCTTCTGTATGCATCTTGTCACACCATGCACACACGGACACACACAATAATAATAATAAATTTTAATGATTCTTAACATTTTTATTGTATGTGTGTGAGGGTACCTGTGGCTGCCAGAAGGTGTTGAATTGCCAGAAGCCGGAGTCACTGGTGGTTGTGAGCCACTCAGTGTGGGTGATGGGAACCACACTCAGGTCTTGCCCCAAAACAGCAGGTTCTCTTAACCACTGACTCATCTCTCCAGTCCCATTAAAAAATAAAACAAACAAACAAACTTTTTCTTCCATCAACCACAGATGAACAGATAGCATTTACTTACTGATCCACTCATTAGAACATTTGTCTTTAGGACCTGGGGAGATGGGTTACTTGGTGAAGTTCCTGATGCCCAAGCATCCCTGGGACCTTGTGGTTTGGAATTCAAAGGGGATCCTAGGGCACATTTGCTAAGAGATCCATTAGAAGAGTTAGTTATTAATGCCATGGGCAGACACACAGATAGACAGCAGTATGGCTGGAGCACTGGGAAAAGTTCAAGCTCATGTGGCAAAGTGGGGATGCTTTCTTAGGGGCTCAGGGAAAGGAGAAGGTATCCTGTGGTCAGGGTGTCTCTGATTTCCTGATAAATGGCAGGGTACAGGCCAGCAGTCTTGCATGGACAGGAATAAACGGGTGTGAGGGATGGGAGGAGAAGGAACCCATCTGGTTGAGTTGTACCTATTATACTGGTACTTTCTGTCCTAGTTAGGGTTTCTATTGTTGTGGTGAACACCATGATTAAAAGCAAGTTGGGGAGGAAAGGGTTCATTTGACTTACACCTCCACATCACTGTCCATCACTGAAGGAAGTCAGGACAGGAACTCAAGCAGGGCTGGAACCTGGAGGAGGCAGGAGCTGATGCAGAGGCCATGGAGGGGTGCTGCTTACTGGCTTGCTCCCAATGGCTGGCTCAGCCTGCTTTCATATAGAACCCAGGACCATAGCCCAGGGATGGGACCACCTGCATCAATAACTAATTAAAAAAAATACCATACAGTCAGATCTTATGCAGGCTTTTTTTTTCCAATTAAGGTTTCATCCTTTTGGATAACTCTAGCTTGTGTCATGCTGTCATAAAAATCTCAGACACAGTGGGCAGCCATAGGCAACAACAAACTTCATTAAAAGGTAGGGAGGGCACAGAAAGAAAACCTCACTGAAGAACAGAGAGGGGCAGGCCCATTTCCCTCTGGAGGACTGGGGTTTTTAAGTGGTTTTGGTGACATTGGATGGATCGTCCTCCATCATGGTTGCCACAAATTAGAATCTCTTCGGGATTGTGGGTGGCATCTTTTGATAGCAGCTCAGGTAAACGGGAAAGCAGCTCTCACCTCCCCCTGGCTTGCTGGCTCATGCTTGCTGGCTCTGCTGGCCCGGCTGAGTTAATTCACCCTCTCACTACTTCACTGCTGCAGGAACCAGAACTTCCAAGCTTGCCTAGAGGGCTAGGGACCAGCTGCTCTCCCAGAACCTTCTGAACTTCCAGCACCAGACTGGGACTTGCGCGGCCTGTGGACTGTGCCTAGCCCTTTCCCATCCTCAGAGAGACACTGAATGTTGAGGACTGACTAACTACTGCGTTCTCAGTTCTCAGGTGTGATTTGGCTTTTGTTACTTTTGTTACTGGTGTGTGTGTGTCCCACACTTTCTCCTAATTTTTTCATTAGTCAGTTTAAACAAAGAAAGGAGAGTTTTGCAGCCCACAACCTCAGGAACATGTTGAGGGCCCACTTGAATGGTTCTGACCCAACCTGAACCAGTCATCTATCTGCAAGAAGTCCCAGCTTGTGGGAGAAAAGGCTGTCGGGGACTTTGCCTCAGATCAGAGAAATGAGGAAGAAGTTGGACACTTGTCATCTCTGCTATCTAGCAGTGGTCTGTCCCTTTTCCTTATCTGTCTGACAGGATCCGTCCAGCCCCTAGTCAGTCATATGGTTTGTGTCTTTTCTAGTTTTCTTTTCTTTTTGGTTGTTC